CCCTGTTCGGCGGGGTCGTCGATTGGGGAGAAGATATATGTACAACGCAAGTGAAACGAGAAAAACCTAGATAAATCAGCAATGTCAGCCAACGAAAATATTTTTTAAAGGCAGTTACTACCCCTCCCTTCAAGAATCAAATCCTATCCCCGCTCGCTGTGGATCTTTAACCTACGACGTGCTTTGAAAGTACATACTCTACACTACCGTACACCTCGAGGAGCACAAAACTAACTGAATAACAGCAGTGCATTGGAAAGAACTCCAGACCACTGATGGCAGGTTTCGTCCCTTTCTCAAACGGGAGAAACGGAGCGCTCGTACTGTCCTACTAACTGCTGAGCCACTGCGGCTGCCAGCACAATCACATTCAAACAGATCCGTCCTGTAGCAGGCCAACGATTTACGGTGGAGCGCAGTTGCTCGCAGTGACTTGTTCTAGGCGCAAAGTGCGAATGCCTCCCAAACGGCTATCTCAAATTAGGCAGCGTTCAGACTTCGCGACGGTAGCGCTTCGGTCGCGCGTTCGACGCGATCGATGCAGTCGAAAGCATGCGCATCGAACGCGCGACCGAAGCGCTGCCGTCGCGAAGTCTGAACGCTGCCTTAGACCATTTTGGGCTGGGCTTGCTCGCTGCTATATATTAAGATCAAACTATCATAAAAGGATGGAGCCATTTATTAGAAGCTCTAAAATTATACGACACATAGAGAATAAAAGAACCACGTTTGGATATAGTCGAGGTAGATGACAGGAATTTTTGGGTGCCGATTCCGACGAACCCTCTAAAAACTGCTAAAAACAGATCAAAGTGGTCACAAACAAAGTATCTGCCTTAGTTATTTGCCAAATAATTCCTCCTGATAATACATTAAGGTTGACAGGTATATTTACTTTACAATTTGGAGTACTGCGTAAGACCGTCGGTAAATTTCTGTCCAATGAGGTGAGCGATTAGATGAAGTCGATCGGAACCAAAGAACGCGTGCTCGTCACCGTCCTTATGGACAACTATCCAAGGTGCACCAAATGCCTGTAATAGGTAGAACAGCACCAATACAGTGAGTAAACCCAACATGGGTAAAACTTACCCCGGTGCCCAAAGCAGATCTGGTGTTCTGTTCTAGTTGAGTTGTGGCAAAATTGCTATTGATTTGATCTATATACTTG